TGTTATATTCTAAAAAGAATATCAAGGTGTCAGAGTTATTAAAAACAAGTGTAGTCCCGTTCCCCCGCGGAGTCGGATCCTCTTCCTGTGCCCCTCAATCACCCGGGCACAACAACAAAAATACATATGTGGCAAAATATAAATGTGGCAGAAGGTATACTTGTGATGTTTTAGCACAAAATAGTACGTAATTATATTCATATATTTCTTATAATTCTGTAGTATACCCAAAAAACGCTTAGATTATATTTCAAAATCTTGATTTTAAAAATTTTACTTAAAAGGTTATGGTAAAGAGCTAGTTTACGTTACATATGCTACAGATTTTTAATCAGATTGTCCTCGAAAGCGTTTTGGAATGCAGTCCAAGTAAATTGTAACATACACTTATTACTTGATGTTTGCTAGATAATATATAGTATTTTCATATGTATAATATCTTTTAAAAGAAGGGCTTATTGTTAGAAGTATTCTGTCCTTGCAAACTTCATTCTGTAGTTGCTATAAAGTCTTTCTAGCAAAAGACACGAATTGACACAAAGTCACTTTACTTTATTATCTACATAATATCGAATAAAGACAGAATATTCCTGTAATTAATTTATTTTTCTGTATTATTTTTATATATTATTTTTTATTTAATTTTTAAATAAAATAAATTAATATAAAAATTTCTAATAAACTATATTTATGTAAATGATTTGTCATAAATATACTTAATAATAAAGTAATGTCTTTTTGTTAAATATAGATTAAATTTATTATTACGATTATGATGTTTAATGTTATAATCTCAGCAAATGCATACAATTTTGTTATATAATATATATATTGCTTCATCTATGTTTGATGGGATTATATATGTATAACAGAAATTCATAATAATTAATGGCTTATTAATGTTTACTTAACAAATAAATATTACTTAAAATTTTATGATTATTTATTATGTATCACTTATTACATATTTATATGTTGTAGAAAATTTACATGTACTTAATACTATTAAGCAATCATTGGTTGCAAATATACCTGCGGTTATATTACGTGCTTTACCAACAGAATCTTCAAACTCGTTAACTCAAAACAAAATAAACATTAAAATAAGATCATAAAAAAGATTT